ATATAGTACTGGAAGTACTTGCAATAGCGATTAGGCAAGAAAAAGATATTAAGGGCATCCAGGTAGGAAAGTTAGAAATCAAGCTCTCACTATTCTCAGATGATATACTATACTTAGAGAACCCTAAAACCTCTACCAAGAAACTCCTAGAAACAATAAACTTGTATAGCAAAGTTGCAGGCTATAAAATCAATACCCAAAAGTCCGTGGCTTTCCTATACGCAAACAGTGAGAGAGAAGAAAGCAACATGAAAAAAACAATCCCGTTCACAATTGTGCCCCAGAAAATCAAGTACCTAGGAATCAGCTTAACTAAGGAAGTAAAGGACCTGTACAAAGAAAACTACAAAACGCTACTTCAGGAAATAAAAGAGGACATGAGGAAATGGAAAGATATCCCCTGCTCATGGGTCGGGAGACTTAACGTTGTCAAAATGGCAATACTACCGAAAGCATTGTATAAATTCAATGCAATCCCTATAAGGATACCCATTACATTCTTCAAAGAAATGGAGCAAACACTCCTGAAATTTATATGGAACAATAAGCCCCCACGAATAGCTAAAGCAATTCTTGGGAAAAAGAAAATGGGAGGAATCAACCTCCCGAACTTCAAACTGTACTACAAAGCAGTAATAATTAAAACAGCATGGTACTGTAATAAAGGCAGAACTGCAGACCAATGGAACAGGGTTGAATACACTGACATCTCCCCTCAATCATATGATCATCTAATCTTTGATAAAGATGCAAGTAATGTGAAGTGGAGTAAGGAAAGCCTCTTTAACAAATTGTGCTGGCATCACTGGATGGCTACATGCAAAAAAATGGGCTTAGAACTCTGCATAACACCATGTACAAAAGTAAGATCAAAATGGATTAAAGACCTCAACATCAGACTGGCATCCATAAGGTACATTGAAGACAAAGTTGGCAAAACCCTCCATGACATTGAAGCTAATGGTATTTTCAAAGATGCCACGCCACTGATCGAGCAAGTGAAAACCGAGATAGATAAATGGGACTATCTTAAACTAAGAAGCTTCTGCACCTCCAAAGAAACAGTGACCAAAATACAAAGACAGTCTACAGAATGGGAAAGGATATTCACCGAATACACATCTGACAAGGGGTTGATATCCAGGATATACAAAATACTGGTTAAACTCCACAAGAAGAAAACATCCAACCCCATCCAAAAATGGGGCAATGAAATGAACAGAAACTTTCTCAAAGAAGAAATCCAAATGGCAAAAAAGCATATGAGAAAATGCTCTACATCATTAATCATCAGGGAGATGCAGATCAAAACCACAATGAGATACCATCTCACACCTCAGAGATTGGTCCACATTCAAAAGCACAAAAGCAACCGATGCTGGCGCGGATGTGGCGAGAAAGGGACACTCCTTCACTGTTGGTGGGAATGTCGACTGGTTCAGCCCTTCTGGAAAACAGTATGGACGATTCTCAAAAAATTAGAAATTGAGCTCCCATTTGACCCAGCAATACCACTCCTGGGAATATATCCCAGAGAGGCAAAAATGTATAGTCGAAGTGACATCTGCACTTGTTTGTTCATTGCAGCACTCTTTACAATAGCCAGAAACTGGAAGAAACCCGAATGCCCAAGAACAGATGACTGGTTAAAGAAACTTTGGTACATCTACACAATGGAATACTATGTAGCTGTTAGAAAAGATGAAATCATGAAATTTACATACAATTGGCACAACATGGAAAGTATCATGCTAAGCGAAATGAGTCAGAAAGAGAGGGATAGACATAGAAAGATTGCATTCATCTGGGGGACATAAAGTAACAAAATATGAGATTAAAACCCAAGAATAGCTGAGATTAGCACCAGGAGGATTACTCCATAGCATAGTGGCCAGCCGGGCATTCTAGAGGAAAGGGCAGCTCAGATAGAGAAGGGAGCACCAAATAAAGGGTGTTTGGAGCATCCTCCCAGGAGGGGAGATGCATGTCGAAAGTGGACTATGGACTGAACATGTTTGCCACTCAATGCCTCTTTTGCAGACCACAACACCCAAAAGGAGAGAGAGAACACAGGTGATTGCCCTCCCACAGAGGCAGGGGGGATGGGGGTGGGGGGGATATTATCCATGGTGGTGGAAAATGGGCATTGGTGGATGGATGGTTATCTGATCATTGTATAATCGAAACCCAAGCACAAAAAATTGTAAATCTACAACTGTACCTCATGGTGTTTCACTAATTAAAAAAAAGAAATAAAAAAGGACATAAGAAAAAAAAAAGAAAAGATGAAGTCAAACAATTTGCTGCTATGATCTGAAAAGTATGTTGAATGAAGTTAGCCAGAGGAAGGAACAGACACAGAATAATCTCACTCATATGCAGGGTATAAAGAAACATAGTGGGGGGGGGGTAGCTAAAGCTCAAAGGCATCAGAAAAGGGTGCAATATGACATTAGTGGAAGGAAGTGGCCACTCCATTTTGGAGAATGTAATGCGAAAAGGAGGTATAAAATGCCTACCAGAATGGCAGGTTGGGTCTACGACCATACCACTCTGAACACGCCAGGTCTCGTCTGATTTCAGAAGCTAAGGAGGGTCGTGTCTGGTTAGTACTTGGAAGGTAGAAAGGCAGGTTCAGGGTTTGGGAGGGTAACTCGAGACATTGGTGGAGGGAAGGTCAGAGTGGTGGCTGGATGGGTGTTGCAACACTTTATGACTGAAACAACCATATTATGAATAACTTTGTATATCAAAGTGTTTTAGTAAAATATGTATTTTAAATCCCATGCACAATTTTGTCTAAAAAAGTCAAATACCTGGGATTCAACAAGGAAGCTGACTTATACAGAGAAATCTATATATCACTTTTTAAAAATATAAAAGACTTATGAACCTGTCTTATTCCATATTATTCTAAGAATTAGTATCCTTCCTCAATAAATTTTATATCATTTTATATCCCCCCAAATTAAAAATAAGCTAGAACTTAAGAGAAACAAGACATTGGGCCTCACAGATAGCACAGATATTAAGGCAAATGCCTTGCATGTCAGCTGACCAGGTTCAATCCCCAGCACCACATGCCTAGTTGGCTGAGAATCACCAAGAGGGGCTCTAGAATCCTTAAGCACTAATCACTGCCTAGGTAGTTAAAAAAATAGAAAATACAAGTGCACAAAAATACATTCCTTACTCATGGTTTTGGTTTTGGTTTTGGAGGGTTAATATGTGTTGAAATGGCCATAATATTCAAAACACTATACAAACTCAATGCAGTCTCCACAAAACACCCCCTGATATTTTATAAAGATCTGTATGAAATATTCTAAAACTTATAAGGAGTATCATAAAGCTCCCCAAGTAATAAAGTCAGGAATCAATTCTGGGGAAAAAGATGGGAAGTGTTTCTCTCCTCAACTTCATATTGTACTGTAACACTACAGTAATCAAAAGCATGTAGTACTAAAATAAAGGCAGACTTCCAGATTAATGTCACAGAATTGAGAGCCTAAGATACACAGACAGTTAATCTTGAGAAAGGAGCTAAGCGCATTAAGTAAAGCAAATGGTATTGTGAAAACTTACCAGCCACATACCCCCTACTCCCACAAAAAAAAAAAATCAGACAAGATCTCTACTTCACATCATCAAAAAGTTAACTCAAAATGAATTAAGACCTTGATATTATACCCAAATTTATAAAATACCTGGAGGAAAACAAAGGTATAACTCTCTATGACACTGTCTCAGAGATATTTTCAATGATTCCATTGGCCAAGAAAACATAACCATAAATAAATGGCAGGCTGGAGACAGTACAGGGATTGAAGCACATGCTTTTTATGCATCCAACTCTGGTTTCATAAATGGCAACACATGATCCCCTGAGAATCAATGAGTGCAGCTCTAGAGGCCTCTGAGAAGGTGTGGCCCTGAGGCCCACAAGCATTGCTGGGCCCAAGCATCCTCAGGCCCTTGCAGTGAACCACTAGGCTGTCTGGCTGAGAAGTGTTGAGAGTCTCCTGAGCAACATCAAAATAAAAAGCTTCTGCACAGCAAAATAAATTATCATCGAAACAAAAAGACATCTTAATTAATGGAAGAAAATACTGCATACCGTATGTCTGACAAAAAGCCAAACTTTAAGATAAATAAAACACTCACAAAATTCAACAACAAATAAAACAAACAACCCTGCCAAAACCTGGGGAGTAGATACCTATTAAAAAAAGATGAAATCCTGCAGTTTGCTGCTGCTTGAATAGAACTGGAATGTGTCATGCTGAGCAAAGTGAATTAAAGGGAAAACAAAAACAGGATGATCTCTCTCTTATGTGGTGTATAAAGAAACAAAGTAGGGGGGCAACGGTCAATGAGAACAAACCCTGAGAGTTGATCTATGCAACTGAGTTTGCCTTGCCGAGGGGTGGGGGAAGAAGAGAAGGGACCAGCAGATTGTGATGGAGGACCTGTAGCATTCTGGGTGTGATATAGCGACACTGTGTTCCGGAAAATTACCATTCACAGTATTGCAAAGCAAAGTGCCTAAGTTTTTTAAAATCTGCACAGAGACTGGGGCAGTTCAAACTCATTTAAAAAGTCAATTTTGTTTCCACTTAAAAATAATAACTTGGCCGTCTAGCTCATCAAGTAGCCTCCTCTAAATTTGGTGGGCATTAATTTGATGATTATGGGGGCTTAAATGGCAAACTTCCTGACAAACAAGGATGAACAGAACTTGATTTATGATAGTCATCAAAGCAGAGCCACTAAATGAGTTTTGTTGGCCATCCAACAGTGTTTCCTAAACAACTTACTTCCTTTCTTGATTGCCCCTTAAAATTACAAAGGAAGTACTCAGGCCCTAAATATATGATTAAGGGAGAAACAATTACATCAGACGAAAGATTATTCTAGACTTGACATCCTAATCAAAGAAACCCTTTTGTAAATTAAATGTTCCTTCCTCATTCATTCAACATTTAAGCATTAATTTTTACCTTCTTGCAGTGTTTGACTCAACCAATAATAGAACCTCAGTAAGATTGACTCATCTCTGGCACAATTAATATAGTGAAGAAGCAGAGAGTTCTTCAGCGCTGCACCCATATGAGATGGCAGCTGCAAAGACAGAAAAATCAGTCAACAGTAAGTATATGAAAAGTATGTCAGACCAATAAGGAAAACACTGAAAAAATATACAACAAAATAAGGGTCATGAAGAGCAAAGGAAAAAGGCAAATATAAGTAAACCCAGTCACATACCTCTAAGCAATGGATGTTCTGTAAGAGTTGTGGGAAGCTTCTTAGTTGTTCTATTCTAACTGGTTCTTTGCTACCAAGATGTTTAGAAAGACTCATGCTTTTTTTCCCATATTCATCACTGCAGCTACTGCAATTTTGCTGTGGTATAAATGAGTGAGATTTCCTTTTCTAAAGAAACCAATAATGAAACTGTCAATGTATGAAATATACTATAAACCATGAATGTAAAAGCAGTTGTGGAAGTAGTTCAATAAATGCAGTTTGAATGTGGTTTGGAGTTTGAATATGGTTTGCATAGATGTCTGGGCAATTAAAATATATTTAAATATCTATATTCTCTTCCAGCATCTGAATGATTAGTTTTTGAATTAATAAAAGTAAAAGCTTCGTGTGGTGTCTGTGTTTTAAGTACTTACTCTTTGTTTTGGAAGGACATTAGATGAACCCAATAACAAATTTAGAGGTTCTGGGGAAGGTCTCTGATTCCTTTGCCTCACATCAAGTAGAGCTGTCTTCCAAAGATTTTCTGAATTCTTAAAATATATCTATAAGTTTTGATAAAGTACAGTGACTAGATATCCATAAACCAGAGAGCAGTATAAAGTCTAAAACTCTTAACAAAAAACATATTAATTATGAAGTACTTTCTACCCATATAAAACCATTTAGTTTTTTTTCTCATTAGGAATCTATTAAATACATCCAAGGAATCAGAACAGTACCAATGTCTAAGAACTTTCCAGAAAGTGTCATACTAGACCTTAAAAAGAGCTAAAAACTGTTGTTTAAACTGATGTTAATGTTATAAAAAATAACATTCCACTCTCAATATGACTTACTGCTCCTTAATCCCTTACCTTCTTCCTTATAGGCACAGACACAGAAACCAAAGCAGGAGAAAAGTACTTATACAGTGACAACAAAGCCTGGAGATGAGGCTTCATACCCTGAAATTCAATAAGAGTTTCCAGATTCAATGACCAGTAAAGAAGTGATCATAAAATACATAGATTACACATCCAGGAGCCAGAGAGTTAATGCAAAAGATAAGGTATGTGCCTTGCAAGCAGCCAACCTTAGTTCAATCCCCAGAACCTCCTACAATCCTCTGAGCACCACCAGGGGTCAGTTCTGAGCACAGAGCCAGGAACAGTCACTGAGCACTGATAACACCAGGTGTTATCCAACATCCCATCCAAAATATACATGTAACTGAACTCTAAGCATTTTATATCCTATAGCTGTAGGAAGATGCCAAATAAAACCAGGAGATAAGTCAACTATCATATAACAACACTCCCCCAATCTGTGGTCTTTTCTTTGAAGATCTTTTTTCCTATTTAATTTCTTCCTGTTAGTTTCTCCTTTCTTCTCTCCAATGGCTTAGGGTAATCATAAGGTTAGCATGAGTTTACTTTCACTGGTAGCATACTCAGGACTCGTATTTTACACATTCTTAATTTAGACAACAAGGTAAAAAGACAGAAAAGGGAATTCAAGAAAACAGCAAAGGAAATATAAATATGTTACTATTATACTTCCTAGAAAATTGACAAGTAAATTTAACAATATGTAGCAGTTAAGCAGCTTAACATAACTGAAACAAACCTTAACCAGAACATTAATTTCATAAAAAGGAGCTGAAGCAATAGTTCAACAGGTAGGCCACTTCCCTTGCACACAGCTGACGCAGGTTCAATCCCAGGCACTACATTTTGTACCTCAAGCACCACTAGGTAGAAAGAGCCAGGAGTAAGCTCTGAGCACTTCTGAGTGTGGCACCAGAAACAAACACACAATTACAAAGACCATTACTGCTGGGTAACTATGCTTGCTACATCAGATTATCTAGAAAAATCATATCCCTAAAATGAATTCCAAGGATCTAAGTAAGTTATTTATTACAATGTCATTGAATCAACTACTATATATAAAGGAAGGAAGGCATAAAATGGGGCTTAGAAATACAGTATTCTTATTTTGTAACAGCATTGTGAAAAACCAAAAACCCACTTTATGTTGAAATAGCTCCTGGTCTCTGTAATTGTAATACGTTAAATATCACAATATTTTCTATTATTTGGATATTTTATTATAGTTTAGGAAGTTACAATAGTGTGAGTTTATGGTACTGATATGCAAAATTACTACAAAAATTGGGGAGCTGAGAGCTTCGGAATAAATTTTCAAGCTAACAGAACCCACTTTTTTGTAAAAGCAACATTCTTCTACACTCTACACACAAACCAGAACTATCAGATATAGCCCTGGGGATCTCCAAGCACCACCAGGTGTGGCCCTATTGTTCTCTGGCATTGCAGAGCCTGAACAATACTACATCCTTGAGCCCTAGCATTGAAAAGCCCTGTCTGTTTGGCCAAATAAAGATGTGCCCTCAGGCCCCCTGGATACTGTTCAAAAGGCCTCACCACCAAAAGCTCATATTCCTTTTTTACAGGGGGAAACTTCTAGCGAAACATGGTGTTGAATAAACATGCTTAACTGAGTCATCCAAGGCTGTACTAAAAAGTAAAGGAGTAAAAAGACATAAAGCATAAGTTCAAAGAGAAAACAGCTGAAGGACAAAAGAGAGATGTCAACATCATTTTGGAATGAAGATGGACAAACCCATAGCAGCCAACTTAGTACAACAGAGAAAACAAAACAAAGGTAAGGTCTCAAGAGAAGCAGATTCATACTTAAGAACGCCTACAAAAGCTGGGGAATTTGAGAAACAGGATATCTCTGAAAAGTGGGGTACAAAAAAGGCAGCAAGAAAGTAGACTATAGACAGAACATGATTGCCACTCAATGACTTTTGCAAACCACAGCACCCAAAAGGAGAGAGAGAACAAAAGGGAATGTCCTGACACAGAGGCGGGGTGGAATGGGGGTGATGAGGGGGTGGGAGGGATACTGGGATCATTGGTGGTGGAGAATGGGCACTGGTGGAGGAATGGGTACTCGATCATTGTATAACTGAAACCCAAGCACAAAAATTTGTAAGTCTACAACTGTACTTCATGGTGTTTCACTAATAAAATTTTTTTTAAAAGGCAGCAAACAGGAATATTGGTTGAAAACCTACATAAGAAGCAGTTAGAACCCAAAATTCCTTAACTGGATTGGCAAATACTAGGCTTCCATTCTGAAGATGATGCTGGACTCAGACTACAGGCAGAGCTGAAGGACCTTTCCTCACTCCTTTCCATATTGTAGAATGCTAATATGCAGGTTAACATCCCTTTGATGGGCTGCAGAGATAGCACAGAAGGTAGAGTGTTTGCCTTGCAAGGGGCCGACCCAGGTTTGATTCCTCCATCCCTCTCGGAGAGCCTGGCAAGCCATTGAGAGTATCCCGCCCGCACGGCAGAACCTGGCAAGCTCCCCGTGGCGTATTTGATATGCCAACACCAGTGACAAGAAGTCTCACAATGGAGACGTTACTGGTGCCCGCTCGAGCAAATCTATGAACAACAGGAGGACAGGGCTACAGTGCAGTACTACATCCCTAGTATGGTTATTTTATGTTTCACCTTGTCTGGGTCATGGAATGTTCAGATAATTAGTCTTGGTGATTCTGTGAGGGTGTCTTGGAGAGATTCATATTTAAATAGATAGACTTCAAGCAAAGCAGGTTACCCTCTATAATATAAAATGGGACTCAACCAGTTGAGGGCCTATAGAAAACAAAAAGATGACATAACCCCAGCTATAGTGAATTTTCCAGCAGAGTGCCTTGCCTTGGCACGTAGGTGAAATATCAGCTCTTCTGAGTCTCTAGCCTGCTGAACTATACTGCATCTTTATCTTTTGAACTTGCCAATGTTCAATCAAGTTAATCTATTACTTATATGAAAACATATATAACACACATCTTATTGGTTGCTTCTCTGGAGAAGTCAGACTAACAAAACTCTTGAACAGGAGACATAATTCCTTCCTACAAAGTGGCATAGTAACAGGGGGAGTTTCCCAATGATAAATAAGATTCTATAATGAACAAGTCCAACTCACACACACAAATTTCCAAACACCATTTTAGAGCTTTATTATAAACTATGAGCAAACAAGGTTTACCAAATATTTGAGAAAAGCCTCCACCACAAGAAAGAAGCAAACTAAAGAAACCATGAGGAAACAAAAACAAAGCATGGAACAGGGAGGGAAACAATTCGTAACAGAGCCACACAGGAGAATTCAATAAATCATACTCAATAAGCCTAAAAATGAGCCCTGCCTCCCTTCTCCTATGCCAAAGAGTGCTCTCAACAGGATATAGCACTGTAGCACTGTCCTCCCGTTGTTCATCAATTTGCTCAAGTGGGCCCAGTAATGTCTCCGTTGTGAGACTTGTTACTGTGTTTGGCATATAGAATATGTCATGGGGAGCTTGCCAGGCTTTGCCGTGCAGGCGAGATACTCTTGGTAGCTTGCCGGGCTCTCCAAGAGGGACGGAGGAATTGAACCCGACTCGGCCAGGCTGGCCGGGCGCAAGGCAAACTCCCTACCGCTGTGCTATCACTGGAGCGATAGCACAAGGCTGGAGCAACAGGATATAAATGGTACATAAACCATAGAGCTGCGCCACCTCCCACCATTCATACTAGCCACCAGAAAAAGATAGGCATTTTGTAAAGAGGTCAGCTGTAACTGTGCTCATTTTTCTCAATCTTTTCTACTTTCTGAAGCATTCACATCCATCTTAAAAAAATCAACAACCTATTAAAATATCCCCCCACAGAGTCAGCCATCGTTAGGTTGTGCAATGTCTATAGCCATTTGGACCCTTGCTTAGAAGAGCTCCAATGATTTGTTTTGCTGTCTTGAAAGTCTTCATATGAATTCTTATCTTTAAACTTGTTTGTTTTTTTTCTTGGTTTTTTGAGGGTGGGGTGGGGTTTGGGCAACACCAGTGGGGTGGGGTTTGGGCAACACCCAGTGGTGCTCAGGGGTTACTCCTGGCTCTGTGCTAAGGAATCTCCTGGCGGATTCAAGGGACCATGGGATGCCCGGGATTGAATCCGGATTGGCTGCATGCAAGGCAAATGCCCTACTCACTGTACTATCCTTCTGACCCTGAACATGTCTTTTTAAATAAAGGACAATGGAGCACGAGAAAAAATATACATATATGCATTTTAAGTCCTTCAACAGAATAGAGAGATATAGAAAGGATACAGGTCTCTGCAGGTATCATAAATGAAGTCAATGTATTTTCTTGCATGGGCTGAATTGCCTAGTACTATTACACATGTTTGGTTATATATGTCAGCATGGTTGCTGTAGGTCTTTTTGCTTTGATATTGTCAGACTTGGCCAAAATTCACCAAAATATTGCTAAGCAAAACAATGTTCTTAATGTTCTTTATAAATGGATGTTGATAACAGAATGGTTTGAGAACTGTTACTGTCACTGTCCTCCCATTATTCATCGATTTGCTCCAGCGGGCACTCGTAACGTCTCCATTGTGAGACTTGTTACTATTTTTGGCATGTCAAATATACCACGGGGAGCTTGCCAGGCTCTGCTGTGCGAGCGGGATACTCTTGGTAGCTTGCCAGGCTCTCCCAGAGGGTCGGAGGAATTGAATCCGGGTCAGCCGCATGCAAGGCAAACGCCCTACCTGCTGTGCTATTGCTCCAGCCCAGTCTGATAACACACTATATAAAATATTAATAATGAAGTCACACAAGTAATGACTGAGTTTTAAAATTTTGACCATTACGTACTAAATTACTCTTTGTTTTGCTTTGTTGGAGGCCACTAACCACAGTGCTCAGGGGCTATTCCTGTATGGTGCTCAGAGGCTACTCCAAATGGTACTTGGAGTAAATTTTGGTGCCAGGGATCTACTCAGGACCTCCTGTAGGCAAAGCAAGCACTTCAATTGTTTGAGCTATCTCCCTCCACCATACATTTCCTTAGTTTTCGGGCAACACCCAGCAGTACTCAGGGATCACTCCTGGCTCTGTACTCAGGAATTTCTCTGGTGGAGCTCAGAGAACCATATAGGATGCCAAGCCTTGAACTCAGGTTGGCTGCATGCAAATCAAGCATCCTAGCCACTGTACTGTTGCTCCAGTCTCGACTTTAGTTATTTTTAAACTAGAACATACACTATTGTTTTCATTAATAAAAATAAGCACAATCTTGATTATTCTAAGAATTATAGTGCTGATGTTTTATTGTTATGTGGAAAATGTACAAGTTCTTAATAATATGAAAAAGAACTCAATTTGGGCAAAAGCATTATCATTAATATCTTCAATTTGCTCAGAGAACATATTGTATCCAGGGAATCAAAACAGGAAACTATAAAAAAGAACAAGCATTGAACTGCACTAACAAGAAATCTCACAATTGTGAAGCATGAAATGTGCACACATGTTTGTATTTTCATAAATTTGAAAGCCTTTTGCAAGATTTTGTAGGCTTAAGCAGTTAAAGGCACTATACCTTCATATGTTTTAAACTCAAAGCTTCACACACTTAGGTAAACTAACAGAGAGCTATAAGATATGAGAGTCAGGGAATATACTGAAGTTTAAGAAACCAGAAAAGAATACTTTCCTATATCACATGCACCCTCAGTTTTACCATTCCCCTACACTCACTTTCCAGCTATAAAAACCCAGATCCCGTAACAATTTCTGCTATGTAACATCTACATGTCTTTGCTCATTTTTCTCTCTACCAGGAGTACCCTTCTATCCCATCTTAACCTATTTAAATGCTATTCATCACTTAAAATTTCTCCTCAGTTGGTGAATACTCCTCCTTGACCCTGAGCCAATTCTCATTTTTTAAAAATTTTGCTGACATTTCTTGTATAGGCTAAATTCATGTTACAATCTTAAAGATTATGTCCCCATTGACTTTCCATTTCCAAAAGCATAGTTCAATATATAGCACATAATACATTAGTCAGTTTTTAAAGTACTCACCATTTTGGCCTGCAGATCAAGCACTTTTCGCACACGAAATGGTTTAACTAAGAAAGGTTTGTAAAAAAAAGTATTATGCATCTGATTCAGAATAAAAGGAAACCATATCGTTCATAATTAATATAGCCTTCTTGGATAACACATCAATAAAAATATTCTATTCAGTTAAGCCATTAAGCAAGATGGTCTTAGATAAAAGTGCTAAAAGCAGCAATTACAAAGTAATATCTCATTATACTAATGTTAATAGTTATTTATATTTCATAAAGGATAATACAAATACTAACTCCATAGAATGAAGAAAATACAACTAGAATGAAAATACTCACCATTCTCCTTTTTGGTAAGTAAATATAACAAATGGCAGACATAAGGGCACTGTTAAAATAAAATTTTTTTTTAAAAAAATGAGTGACATATTTTTAACAGCAATTTGACCCATAATCTATCTTTTACTCCTTAAGCAAAAATGCTTCAGGATTTCAGAACAACAGTTTCACAAAGTTTCTCCTTTTCATGCAATACAGTAGGGATTTATAAACAATATTTTTAGTTTGAATGCCATTTAAAAATTATTTTTAATATAAAAATACTGCACTTAGGAGACCCCGAGTTGCTGCCCACGAATGAGCCCTCCTCTGGCTACTGATTGAGCTGCTTATGGGCCATGATCCCAGAGACTCAGAAACAAAGCTCAGAACACAGCGGCTTTTGGCAGAAATCCCTCCAGATTTAATTATGAAACTTTAGAATTCCAAAATTCCACAATAGTGGCTGTGCGTCATCACATGCAATTCATAAGTAGCAATAGAAAACAAATTGTCTAATGTTGCCTTTTTGGCAGATCTGAGTGTTGGGGTAAAATCCCAAATAATAATGGTAGGTTTGGTGTCGAAATACTGAATGTAATCAAAGTAGAGGGGGGCTGGAGTGATAGCACAGCGGGTAGGGCATTTTCCTTGCACGCGGCTGACCTGGGTTCCATTCCCAGCATCCCATATGGTCCCCTAAGCACCGCCAGGAGTAATTCCTGAGTGCAGAGCCAGGAGGAACCCCTGTGCATAGCTGGGTGTGACCCAAAAAGCAAAAAAAAAAAAACCCAAAGTATGAGAGAGAGTAACACGGAAATCATCTGCCACACAGGTAAGGGGAGGGCTTGGGATGCAGGGGAGACTGTGGTTTTTGGTGGTGGAAAATGTGCACTGGTGAAGGGTCGGGTGTTTTTTCACTGTATGACCAAGACTTAAACCGAAAACTTTGTAACTGCTCTCACAGTGTTTCAATTAAAAAAATACTGCACTTAGGAAAAAAAAAGATTTGCCTATCAGATCTCCTACATAACAAAATTTTATGTATTCCTTCATGTGTTCCTACAAACTCAGAGGCCAGAAAGATAGAAAAAGGTGAAGGCCCTGGCCTTGTATGTGCTCAAGCTCTGTTCTATCCCTGGCAGTATATATGGTCTCCCATGTACTGCCTGGAATGATCCCTGAGCACAAAGCTAGGCATAAGTCCTGAGCACAGTCAGATGTGCAACCCCTACCACACACACACACACACACACACACACAAAATAAAAGATACAAACTTAGGGAGATAGGGATATAAGCTCAGTAGAGGGAACGTATTTTGCTTGTATTAAGCCCTGCATTTGATTATCAGCATCCATCTTACCTCCAAAAAGATACAATTTTAAAGCTTTTTTCCAAATTTCTCACTTAAAAGCACTTCTTCATGTCATTTGATCTCAAAAATTATCATTTTAATTATCTTAATAACCTAATGAATTGGCTATAACAATTTAATTAACTATTGAGTTCTCAGCTGCAAATTGCACACACTGAAAAATAATTAGTGAATTAGGGTCCCATTTTGAATGTTCACTTGTTGAAGTTTTTTCTAGATTAGGAGTCAGCAAACTATGGTCCATCTGTTTTTATATTTACTGTTCCATGGGTCACTGACATCCTGATTTAAAGATGGTGTATGGTTGCCTTCTAGCTACATCCAAGCTGAATCATTGTGACAAAAGCTATGGCCTTGACCCTTAAATTTAAGTATTAACCAACTACCGCATTAGGAAAAAGTTCCTCAACTCTTATTCTACATGCCAGAAAACTGAAATGTCAATTATTTAATGGAAGTAGGCAATTTGTTTTCTTTTAAAAAACTGCATTTTAGTAGTAAAAACTCTAAACCTTAAAGTCTAAATAAAGGTCAGCAATCTTCAGTCCAATCCTCAGCACCTCTAAAATCAAATGAAGTGTAGCATTCCATATTTTCCATATTGCTTTTCTTCCTGGAAGTATGTTCACAAGATTCTCTTGTATATTTGTTTTCAAATGATAGAAAAAAATTTTAAAAAGGAAGGGCCCCTACTCTTCCTGCCAACTGAGGAAGCAACTTTCTAATCAGTATCATGAAAACTACTCCAGTTCAACAAATATTTGCAACTGATTTGCTCGATTTGCTCGAGCGGGCCCAGTAACGTCTCCATTGGAGATATTGTTGTTACTGTGTTTGGCATATCGAATACATCACGGGTAGCTTGCCAGGCTCTGCTGTGTGGGCGAGATACTCTCGGTAGCTTGTCGGGCTCTCCGAGAGGGGCGGAGGAATCGAACTCGGGTCTGCCATGTTGGCTGCGTACAAGGCAAATGCCCTACCGCTGTGCTACTGCTCCAGCCCTGCAACTGGTTTAACAAACATTTATGAGTAGCTCCTATTTGTTCATTCACTTATGAAACAAATACTTATTGAGCGATAAATAAAGCAAACAAAAAGGTCTACTCTCAAGTAATTGATTTTTTAGGGACCACAGAGAGAGGCACTGTGAGAAGGGCAGTCCTAGCAATGCTGCATTATTCAGGCCTGGCAGTGTTCCAGGGCAATTGGGGCAAGCTCAGTGGTATATAGTGACTAAGCTCAGCTCAGGGTCTGGCACCTGAGCTATCTCCCCAAGTCCTGGAAGTTCGAGGTTTGTATGTCATGAATACCATGACTAAATACTTGGGTTATAAAAGCTCAGTCCTTGCCTGGAAAAACTCAGTCTATTGAGCGATTATAGTAAAATGGAGTACAAGTGTTATTATTCTCAATTCTTTATAAGTATACTTTATAAATATACTTAAATGTAAAAATCACTTATACTACAATTTACACCATTTATATAGAGAAACAATATGATATTAAGAGAGAAGTAAAAGCTAAGGGAAATTCAATCACTGACTATTCATTCAACCACTCCTGTGTACCACAAGGCAACAGGAGGGATGCACAGTCTTTACTTTTTCTCTAGACTTTAAGGTCAAGAGACACTTCTTCCCACCACCAGTGAAGGAGGGTCTCTTTCTCGCCACATCCGCACCAGCACCGGTTGCTTTTGTTCTTGTGGATGTGGGCCAGTCTCTGTGGTGTGAAATGATATCTCATTGTGGTTTTGATCTGTATCTCCCTGATGATTAATGATGTAGAGCATTTTCTCATGTGCCTTTTAGCCATTCGGATTTGTTCACTGCTGGTGGGAATGCCGACTGTTTCAGCCCTTTTGGAAAACAGTATGGACGTTTCTCAAAAAATTAGAAATTGAGGGGCTGGAGAGATAGCACAGCGGGAAGGGCGTTTGCCTTGCACCATCCGACCCAGGTTTGATTTCCAGCATCCCATATGGTCCCCTGAGCACCGCCAGGAGTAACTCCTGAGTGCAGAGCCAGGAGTAACCCCTGTGCATCACCAGGTATGACCCAAAAAGCAAAAAAAAAAAAAAAAAATTAGAAACTGAGCTCCCATTTGAACCAGCAATAACACTCCTGGGAATATATCCAAGAGAGGCAAAAAAGTATAGTCGAAGTGACATCTGCACTTGTTTGTTCATTGCAACACTCTTTACCATAGCCAGAATATGGAAAAAACCTGAGTGCCCGAGAACAGATGACTGGTTAAAGAAACTTTGGTACATTTTCACAATGGAGTACTATGCAGCGGTTAGAAAAGATGAAGTCATGAAATTTACATATTAGTGGTACTACAAGGAAAGTATCATGTTAAGCAAAATGAGTCAGAAAGAGAGGAATAGACATAGAAAGACTGCATTCATCTGGGGAACATAAAGTAACAAAATAGGAGACTAACACCCAAGAATGGCCGAGATTAGTACCAGGAGGTATGCTCCATGGCTTGGAGGACAGCTACACATGCTAGGGGAAAAGGGAGCTCAGACAGAGAAGGGAGCACCAAATAAAGGGTGTTGGGAGGATCCTCTCAGGATGGGAGAAGCAAGCTGAAAGTAGACTATATACCAAACATGATTGCCACTCAATGCCTCTTTTGCAAACCACAACACCCAAAAGGAGAGAGAGGGAGCAAACGGGTATGCCCTGCCATAGAGGCAGGGTGGGATGGGGGGATGGGGGGTGGGAGGGATACTTGGATCCGTGGTGGTAGGAAATGGGCACTGGTGAATGGATAGTTATTTGATCATTGTATAATTGAAACCCAAGCACAAAAATTTTAAGTCTACAACTGTTAAAAAAAATAAAAAATAAAAACAAAAATAAGTAACAATAAAAAAGAGACACTTCCTTCTTCCTTTATAGAAAAAAAAAGATTTCTTCTGAGCCTTAGTTCACCCAACCACATAATCTCTAACTTACCTTCACCCTATTTACTACTTTTGCAGCAACTTCTCAAAATTCACTGAGAACTTAGGAATCTAACTCAGCTTCTCTTCTATTCCTAATTGCAGTATCATGCTAAACTTTAATGTCTGTATCAACAAATCACATTGACTTTTTATCTTACTGGTGTTGTTTCCAACGACTTGATTAGAAATTGAAGAAATACTATATATTTAAGATACCCTGGAGTGATCTTACTTGCTTTTTTTGCCAACTAGGGATGTTTTTTATATTGTATCCAACTGTTTAAGTATATTTATAAGCTGACATGAAACAAAAGAATCTGTAGTTTCCTAAAACAACACTTAAGTGGGAATACTGAATATATAATAAGCTTTCTCCCAAACATTAAAATGTTGAACTTCTGGCTTTAATAGTCTCACAGAAAGATAAGGGCAATCTAGGCAGATGATAAAAGCTTAGGGATTATCTAAAGTGTAGAACACATAAGGGAAACTACTAGAATATTGGGACTTCCCCTAAGAGGTATGCCCTAACTACATGGCTATGAAACAAAAACAAATTCTGTTGCTCTGAAGAACAACTTGCCTGCTGGGGTTGGGTGAAAGGAAAATAAAGCCTCTACCAAGAAACTTAAACACAAACTTGCCCTATGAATCCTGCATAGTTTAGAATTTACACAAGTAGTATAACCTAGAAAACCTGAAATGAAAAGATCAATTTAAAGCAATTTCAGCTAGA